ACGTGACGATGGTTTCTAATTAACGACGTCGACAACGACAACAAAGGTCTTCGAACTTGATTTCATCCATTACGAGGAATTTCCCGCCTATTGTTCCGCCGCTTTCGTATTCCGCGTTTCACGGCGATCTGGTTGTCGAAGCCAGCCAGCTGATTAATCAGTAGAGACACGTTTTCTCGCGTATATCGCGTATAGACAAGGAACATTTGCACGAGCTGATACAAAAGCGACGGACACGAGAGTTTTTCCACTGGAAATCTACTCTGGCACCGTTACCAGCTCCGATTTCGGACAATAGGCATCGAAAAAAGAGCGGGCTTGATAACTGAAAGCCGGTCGGGGTCTCTCGATCTCGTTACTCTTCGAAAAATCGACACGATCGCGTTCCCCCCCGTTCGCGAGTCGCGATGTTTATTCCATCGTTACGGCGTATCTCGAACGCATACCGAGCGATTTCGTCGAGGACGAGAGAGGAGGCAGCGCGAATATGAGAAAACGCATAAATACACGAGAGTGCGCGTGTACGAGAGCAAGACGCGTGCAAACGTTAGAGGATGAGGAAAAATCAGCTAGAGAGGGGTAAACGAGTAATAACGAAGAAGGGGGAGGGAGGGAGAAAAAGATGGAGGAAACCGCCCTCTCCGTCTCTCTCTCTCTCTGTCTCCCTTGCGCTCTCGTTCTCTCCCTCTCTCTCTCTCTCTTTCTCCCCCTCCCCTGCCCAGTGTTTCTCCCTGTTGTTTCTCAGCATTCAACCGGCGAGTAGGTCTCTACGTGCACACAACCGTATACCCACTGGAAAGCGCTATATCTGGTTGGTAGTGTGTGCGTGCGTGTACTTACGTGCTAGCATGCGAGAATCGGACTGGCTAACGCTATCCTCTATGGTAGTAGAGTAGTAGCATACTGGTCCCGTACGTACACAAAGCGATGTCTGGCTCGAACGATACCGTAGAGGAAAGTACGCGATGTCGCTATCGCCACGGTATTCTTCTTCGTGCAGCACGGTGATCTCCCTCTCCCGAGCTGTACGCTGCTGCTGTTCAGGCAACCACGACGTCGCGTGCCCGATATATACGCGATTTCGCGACGTACAACCAGCTTCCCTGGCATTCGAGTAACCTCCACCGACGTGGGATTTTACTTTCACCTTTCCGTCACAACCAAGCGGCAGCCCTCTCCGTCCCCGAAACTCTCTGCCCAGCTAGAAACTCGGCGAGGCAGGCGAAGACAAACCGCACGAACCTATTTAACGGTGAAGCGAAGAGCGATAACGACGGCAACGAGAACGGGAACGACGACGAAGACGAGTTACACGGCTAGTCAGGAATACGGTGAGAGCCGTACGAAGGCGCCGCGGAATACGTGGTGGCGTTTTCTGAAACTACAGCTCCGCGGAAATGAACGACATCGAACGTTGGGAACGAAACGTTGGGGGGACAGGCACGTTAACCACCGAACAGCACGGCGTCTCACGCCAAACTAAACTGAAACCCCGAGTGGGATATGCCCTTTCCCCTCTGCCCCCCTAACCATCGCTGGGCTCCCTGCATCCCTTTGCCGCGCTCCCCTCGTTCATCCCCTCCAGTCTTTCTCTCCTGTCCTCCAGGCTCTATACACGGTTCTCGCTACGCCTGCCGTTTCGTTTCACTCCTCTCTTCGTCCCTTCCCCTCCGTCGCGCACAATCCTCTCTCTCTTCCTCTCTATACCTCTTACTTGCACTCTCGGTTGGTTAGTAGTATGTATGTACTCTCTTTCCTGCCCCTTCGTTGGCGAGCATCGTGTCTCTGCTCAGCTCTCTGTTCGCCTGTGGGTAGCCTGTGTATGCCTAGCTTGGCCTGGCCTGTGTCAGCTTGCCTCGCCTGACTCGCCTGCCTTGCCTGCCTGCCTTGTCTTGCCTGTCTGCCTGCCTGCCTGTGGTACGAGTCGTTTTTATCTCCACTCTCCTCTATGCGCGCTTCTGGCCACCCCTCCCCCTCCAGCGTGTGCTACGTATACCCTTACACTAACACAGTACTACTCACCAGCGAGTCGACTTCACCTCCTCCCCCTTCGCCCCATCGGGGATCACCCCGCGCGTTACCAGCCGCGTTACCAGAACTCCCCTCTATTCGTGCTCGCCGATACCTCACCCTTTTCTTCTCCCCGAGAGAAACGACCCCCTAGCTCGAGAACCCACCGATCATCCTTTTGCCTCCTCCTCCTTCCTTCGTTTCTTTCATCGTTCCACCGCTGCCTGCCTGCCTGCCTCGTGTAACCTCCAATTACGAGTGGTGGCGGCGGCGGTAGACGGTAGACGGTAAAACGGAAATCGGCACTTGAGACCCGGCCAGATGAATTTCCGCGTGTGTTTGAATGAACGCGCGATAAACCCGTTCAGCCTGGAAAACCAGTGTGCCCCGGCTGGCCTGGCCGGCGAATGGGCCACCTAACCGCCGGATAAAACCAGATAGATTACGAGGAAACCAACGGACTTTTATTGCGGATGTTAATTTCACGTGTGCGCCGCGATACCGCGGCTTTACACTTCGGATTACCCGGTTACACCTCTCCGTTTCGAGTCTGCGCCGGGTTTTATTACGCGACCTCCACTTTCGATTCGGTAAAGGGTCTTTTATCGTCTTCCCGGGGACCTTTCTTGCCACAGGGTTGCATATTTATCGTAGCGAATACGGAGAACGTACGGTAAAAAGGGAAAAAGCAAGAGGAACGTGGGATGAAATTTGTAACGATGTCACGAGAGACGTTGCGGTAATTCTAGGACTGGGAAAAATGGGAAGAAAGTAAAAGGAGACCTTCCGACATGGTCGTCGAGTCGGCTTGTGCACTTTTCCAAAGACGCTTTCGATGGGCGTGGCGATTGTGTAGAAATTTTCCCTTCGCCCCAGTACCTGATGCCAGCAGGAAACCCTGTCCCCCGTTACATACGCTAATTAATGGAAGTGTACAGGCTTCTTCGTTCAGTTACTCGTCGTTCGAT